GAGCCGAAGGCAGACGCTTAACGACTGAGCCACCCAGGCGCCCCTTTTTCTCTAGTTCTTTAAGGTGTAGAGTTAGTTGGTGAATTCAGGATTTTTCTATTTTTTTGAGTGAGGCTTGGATGGCTATGTATTTCCCCCTTAGGACCACCTTTGTAGTATCCCATAGGTTTGGACCGATGTGTTTTCGTTCTCATTGATTTCCATGAATTGTTTAAGTTCTTCTTTGATTTCTTGGTTGACCCAAACATTCTTGAGCAGAGTGCTCTTTAGCTTCCAAGTGTTTGAATTTCTGCCAAATTTTTCTTGTGATTGAGTTCCAGTTTTAGAGCATTGTGGTCTGAGAATATGCAGGGAATAATCTCAATCTTTTGGTATCGGTTGAGACCTGATTTGTGACCCAGTATATGGTCTATTCTGGAGAAAGTTCCATGTGCGCTCGAGAAGAATGAGTATTCTGCTGTTTTAGTGTGGAATGTTCTGTAAATATCTATGAGGTCCATCTGGTCCAATGTATCATTCAAAGCTCTTGTTTCCTTGTTGATTTTCTGCTTAGATGATCTGTCCATTGCTGAGAGTGGAGTATTGAGGTCTCCTACAATTAACGTATTGTTATCAATATGACTCTTTATTTTGATTAACAGTTGGCTTATGTAGATGGCTGCTCCCATGTTGGGGGCATAGATATTTACAATTGTTAGATCTTCTTGTTGGATAGACCCTTTAAGAATGATATAGTGGGGGCGCCTGGGTGGCTCAGTCGTTAAGCGTCTGCCTTCGGCTCAGGTCATGATCCAGGGTCCTGGGATCGAGTCCCACATTGGGCTCCCTGCTCAGCAGGAAGCCTGCTTCTCCCTCTCCCACTCCCCCTGCTTGTGTTCCTGCTCTCGCTGTCTCTCTCTCTCTGTCAAATAAATAAATAAAAATCTTAAAAAAAAAGAGAATGATATAGTGTCCTTCTGTGTCTCTTATTACAGACTTTAGTTTAAAATCTAATTTGTCTAATATAAGAATTGCTACCCCAGCTTTCTTTTGAGGTCCGCTGGCGTGGAAGATAGATCTCTATCCCTTCACTTTCAGTCTGGATGTATCTTTAGGTTCAAAATGAGTCTCTTGTAGACAGCATATGGATGGGTCCTGTCTTTTTATCAATCTGCAGCCCTGTGCCATTTTCTGGGAGCATTTAGGCCATTCACGTTGAGAGTGATTATTGAAAGATATGAATTAATTGTCATCATGTTGCTTGTGAAGACGTTGTTTTTATAGATTGTCCCTGTAAATTTCTGTTGTAGATCACTCTTGGGGTCTTTCTCCTTTTATAGAACCCCCCTTAATATTTCTTGCAGGGCCGGCTTAGTGGTCACATATTCTTTCAACTTCTGCCAGTCGTGGAAGCTCTGCATCTCTCCATCCATTCTAAATGAAAGCCTTGCCGGATAAAGTATTCTTGGCTGCATGTTCTTCTCATTTAGTACCCTGAATATGTCTTGCCAGGCCTTTCTGGCTGGCCAGGTCTCTGTGGATAGGTCTGACGTTATTCTGGTGTTCCTCCCTCTGTACGTAAGGAATCTCTTCCCCCTAACTGCCCTTAAGATGGTTTCCTTGGTTCTAAGATTTGCAAGTTTTACTATTATATGCCGGGGTGTTGGCCTGTTTTCCTTGATCTTGGGAGGGGTCCTCTCTGCTTCTAGGACTCGAATGTTTGTTTCATTCCCCACATTAGGGAAGTTCTCAGCTACGATTTGCTCAAATACATCTTCTAGCCCTCTCTCTCTCTCCACTCCCTCCGGGATTCCAATGATTCTGACATTGGAACGCCTCATGGTGTCACTTATTTCTCTGATACTATTTTCATGGATTCTGAGTTGTTTTTCCCTGGCCTCATCTTTTCCCTTTTTATCTATTACACTGTCTTCCAGATCGCCTATTCTCTCTTCTGTCTCAGTTACCCTAGCTGTTAGATTATCTAGATTGGATTGGATCTCATTGATAGCATTTTTAAGTTCTGCCAATTCCCCTTTTATTTCTGCCCTTAGAGACTCTATGTTGCCATTAATTGATTTCTCCATTCTAGCCATTGTCTTCACAATGGCTAGCCTGAATTCCATCTCCGACATCTTGGTTATATCTGCATCCATTTGTAAATCTGCAGCATAAGTCATAATCTCTGAGTCTTTTCTGTTTTGGGGGCTCCTCCTCCTAGTCATTCTGTTGATGGGTGTTTGAGGGAATGTATAGACTTGAAATTATTGACCAGAACCCAAGCAGGATACACCTGTTTTCTTGGGACCTTAGGGTTGCTGGCCTCTTGTTTTCCCAGCGTGTCTTCTGCGGGAGGGGCCTGCCGCGCTGTTACTCAGGCAACCCTGTTGGGCAGAGTTGCCCTGCCCCCTGTGGCGGGGGATGGGCTCAGTGGGAATCAGTCTTTGGGGCTTTTGTTCTCTGGCACCTTTCCCTGGCGGCTTTCCGCGTCTCTTCCGCGAGTCAGAGCAGAAGAGACCATTTCCAACCCTCTGCCTCAGAGCAGAGAGACCGCAGTCTGTTCTTCAGTGAGCTCTCCAGGCCACACCGTCTCCGTTTCTGTCTGTGCTGCTATAAACTGCAGCGTCCTGGGTTGTGCGCCCCTCCGCAGCGCTCCCAGTCCTGCCTTCAGGTCAGGGCACGTCTCTGCCCTTTGTGCTTCTAAAACCGCCAGCCGCTCCCAGTTCGCATGTGCGCAACTCCGCCGCTTGCCTCTCAGGGTTTCCACCCTGGGGGTTGCAGTTCACTGGCGCGACCCAGGCGCACCAGGTTTCCATCTCGGAGGCTGCAGTTCGCGTGCGCGCGACCATCGCTCCGGTTTCTGTCCAGGGAGGCCTGCGGTTCGCGTGCACGCGACCCCTCCAGTCTGGTTTTTCCACCCCGGGGGCTGCCCTAAAGTCCTTTCCCCACTGCTACTGGTCTGCGAGCCTGTGCCCTGTCCGCAGCGTGCGAGGCTGTCCCTCACTGGCAGTGTAGGATCCCCACAGCCAGGCACCCTCCCGCCGCCGTTTATCCTCCAATATCTGCCCGCAGGATCACGGCTCTCCGCTTCGTACCTCAAAACCAACCGCCTGCGATATTCTGTTTGTAGAGATCCAGATCTTCTCACATCTCAGGCTGGTTTCGTGGGTGCTCAGAGTGGTCTGGTAGATATCCAGCTCAATTCTGGGGACCAGTTGAAATAGGGTCCCCTACTCCTCTGCCATCTTTCCCCTCAGAAACACACTTTCTCCTCGCATTGTCTTTTGTTCTCTTGTTTCTTGGCTGTCATTTTCTTGGCACTTATTCCATCTCAGGCAGGAATGAAACACTGGACAAGCAGCATTTCGTATAAGCTTCAAAAGAGTCCTACCAAGTAGGCATTACCATTCAGTTTTAGAGATGAAGACAAGGAGACTCAGAGAGGTGGAGGATCTCGTCCTCATCACCCCCTACCCCGCCATCTTGAGGAACCCCCTTCTTTCCACTGAAATTGTGCTGAACAGCCCGGAGGTTAGGACGGACCTGAACACTAGTCACCATGAGACGTTAGGTTATGTGGGCGACTCCCGTCTGAAATACCACTTCCCGAGCCACCCCATCCACCAGCCCCTACCATCACACCGGTCAGGGTCTGGAAGGCTGTTCAGCCTCTCCTGGAAGCTCACATACCTACCTATGCAGGGGCCTGGGCAGCAGCCTCATCTTTCCACTTCTCACCCACGTGGGAAGCCAGATCCTCAGAAGACATTCCAGAGCCTGGGCTCCTGGCTGCCAGGTGGCCCTTACACCTCCTGAGTTGCTGCAGCTGCTCCTGCTAGTGAGCGAGGGTCCCATCTGGGCTCCTGTGCCCACCCTCAGCTGACTGCTTCTCAGTTTGAAGACATCTTGCACCTCATAGTCTGCCAGAGCTAAGGACCTAATCTCTGCAGCATACGTACATGCATCCATACACACACGCTTGTAAGAAGTGAGCCCGGAGCTCTCTAACCACGTCTGTTTAACTCTCGACTCCATTCCTTACAAGCTATGTGGCTTTATGCAAATAAATTCAACCTGATCTCCATTTTTCCCACCTGCAAAATTGAGAAGGCAAAATCTACTTTATTCAGTGCTTTTGATGACTAAATAGGTGAATGCTTGTACAACACTTGGCATGAAGTGCTTGGCTTAATAGATGTTAGCCATGACCATTATTACTTTTCCAGAGGTCAGAGAGGTGGCAAACTTGGCCATCTGAAGTCCCCCAAGAACCCAAAAGTAACTGAAAATGCCTCTGAGTGGAGAAAGTCGTCACAGAGTTCATGTCCTTTATTCCGGGGATGGTGACGCCCTGCCCTCGGCTGTCACCCACACATGTAAAATATGCGTGTAAAATATGGCAGCTGATAATAGCAGCTGCTGGAACACATGAGAAGTGACAGCTGCAGGGGAAGAAGGCTGTGGTAGAGCTACGGACTCAAAGCACAGCCGTCTGAGGCCACTTAGTGGCCTGGCCATCAGCCCTGCCTGTCTCCAGACCCCACAGGGACCCCTGCCTTCCCATATTGTGCAGAAGTGTCATTTCCCTGTGACATCCTTTTTTGGGAAAGGCTGGATAAATGAGTCACATAATGAGCAGGACTCCCTAGGCTTCTGATGAAGATCAGATAAATCTCGCTCTTGGACAACATCTGTTCTTAGAGGAGTCTTGTTAGCATCTCAGGCACAGAGCCCGAGTTGGGTGAAATAAGCGGGGCAGTTGTGTGAAAGACAATCCCAAGAACGTCAAAGTGGCCTGGGACTAAGGTGCTGCCCCTGCTCTCTGCTTGCCTGGGGAATTCTGACCCTTTGTTTCCAGGCCCTGCTCAAATGCCATGTCCTCCAGAAAGCTAGGCATGGTATTTGCTTCCTGACATCAAGTGCTCCTATGCTTGGCTTGCCCGGGGCTCATCCAGGCTGTGCCAGTCCTGATGTTGGAAAACCTCCTTATTCTAATTTCCCTTCTGCCCCTGTCACTCCAGCCCTGAGCCTGTCCCATGTGAGGACTCTCACCGGCCCTTGAGGGATCACTTCCTGCTGGGAGCTCCGAGCATCCTCCTCACCATCCTCCTCCAGTTCATCGGGGTCAGATTTGCCTTCGGCAATGGACAGAGAGACCCATATGTTAGGATTGGTGATGAAGTCATTGTGGTCGTCCCTGGGGCCTCTGGACACTGGAAGCCCTCTGGGGCTCCCCACAGCTGTATCAGCAGCAATGTGGTTCTCAGCTTTGGAGCTGGAGAGGGGGAGTTTCATCACCAGCTGGGGTTCTGTCTTGGGCCAGGGCAGCAGGCAAGTCCTGGTGAAGAAGCTGCAAATGGCCTTCCTGGTACGATAGCCAAATGCTGGATCCATGCCAGGGCAACCTGCAGGTTGTTCACCTGTCCGTCTTCATCTGGAGCTACAAGGTTGTCGGCACTGAAGGAGTTCAGCAGCAGGGTGAGAACAGGTTGAGCACCTGGAGAGAAGGAGTGGAAGCAAAGATGGCTCCACCAATGACGAGCTGAGTCCCTCCATAGTCTGCCAGGTTGGCAGCCAGAGGGCAGGACAGCCACACCTGGGCCTCTCCCTGCCCACCCAACATGCTTTCCCTCTTGGGGGAATGGACATTTTGAAAGCCACTGAAGGGAGTCTTGCAGATGTCCCAGGTGACCTGCCTCATGTGAACAAGGCTTGGAAGCACATTTTCTGTCATAGAGAGGGATCACCCCTGCCAAACCAAGGGACGTTCAGGGATAAGGGAGAGGAACACTTATGGGTCTGCCCTGAGGCCACTGTCATCTGCCAAAGCCCTGGGTTCTTTTCCTCACTCTGGGATCCTGGGCAATCTCCTTGCTGTTTCCAACTTCATGTTCTTCCCCCATGAGCTGGAAGTGGGGACTCCCTCCCTTTTGGAGTGGTTGTGAAGAGGAAACTACCCGAGGGCTGTAAAAGTGCTCAGGAAGGGAAACTTCCTGCCTGAGGGTTCGGGGCCCCTGTAGCTCTGCAGGCCTGCTGACCTCAGCCTGGAAGAAAGGATCTTCAGCCAACCCCCTAACTCAGGAATGGGGGGGAAGGCATCTGTGGCTCCATGCCCCAGGTGGGAAAGACTAAAAAGTCTGGATTTGTTGTTTCATTTCTCCTGGTTTAGCTATCTTGTGTCTGTAAAACTCTTACAGGAAAATAATCCAAGCTGGTTGACTTTCAGGGCAGTAAGAAAGGGACTTCTGAGGGTCCATATGTCCCCCTCCAGTAGCCAGTGCTGGTGCAGCAAGGGTGCCTAGAACCACAGTGGGTGGGGGTAAGCTGAGGGCAAGGGGCCAACTAGGATAGAGAAGGGGTGCTGGGGCCAAATGGGGCTCCCCCAAATGTGGAAGTGGCTTTTGTTATTGACATTGTGGCATTGGATGTGGTCCATGACCCAGCTTCTCTCTTTCATCTTGTCCCATAGTGCCCACCCTCCTGCTCTTAGCTAGGACCTGTGTATCTTAGAGAAAGCAGTCAGCTCTCACAGCACTAGAGAAAACTATCTTCTGAGAACCCCTAGAGTGGGGAAGGAAATTTTTCTTCAACGACTAACAGCTAACAGTTACTGAGTTCCTGTTGTGGCCTAGACACTGCACTAGGCAATTTGCCTGTGTCATCTCCTGTAATCTCATTCCCTGGGTAAGCCTCTGAGTAAGCACTATTTTCTTGATTGTAAGGAAATTAAAGCTGGAGGAGATTGTCTCTTGTGCTGGGTCTTCCAGCCTTACTAGTGGTAGAACTGGGATTCTAAACAGGTCTTTCCACCCCTCTCCTATGTGCTCACACCAGCAAGTCAAGTTACCTCCCATGGGACAGTTCTTAGAACAGCCCCACATGACTTTGCAAAGTTTGAAGAATTACAGTCTGGGAGGTATGATGGGGGCATAAAAATGTGCAACCTCAAAGCTTTTTAGGATAACCCATAAGTCTCCTCCATGGCCCCCAAGACAGTGCCCCCAGGGGGGCTCAGCACTTACCACCAGGTCCCCCAGCAGCATCACTGTCAAGAAAAGGATGAGGCATATGGGTTTCTGGCCAACTTCCATGCAGGCCCACGTGTTCTCAGTCCACTCTCCACACAGGATCTGGAAGATGATGAGGAAGGAGTGGAAGAGGTCGTGCATGTGCCAGCATGGCCGTTCTTCCCTGGGCGCGGAGATATTATGCCGGTTGTCCCAGTAATTATCCCCATGTATCTGCTTGCCCACCAGAGCGAAGACAAAGACAATGATGGCCAGGATGATGGTGAGGTTCCCCAGCGCTCCCACCGAGTTCCCGATGATCTTGATGAGCATGTTTAAGGTTGGCCAGGACTTGGCTAGCTTGAAGACCCACAGCTGCAGAGAAACAGAGACTGTCACGTCCTGGCTGTTCTTCTCATCACCTTTCATCTCCAGTCTTGACCCAAAACCAAGGGTCAGGGAGAAGCACAAGGCAGCTCATTTCGTTAAGATGGGGGTGCTCCCAGGAAGCTGCTTTTCGAGACCTTTCTTTCTGTCATCAGTTACTCAAAAATATGACCAGCCTTCTATGGGTCCTCATGTATCAACACTCTTCAGCAACTGTGGCAGTCAGGAGTTTTATAGTGGGGTGATGATCTCGCCATATGTATTCTGTAGCCACAGGCTTCCTGAATGTTGGCCTATTCTATGGGGGTATGATGGAACTCACAAATAAGTGAGAATGACCAGCTTTTGGCCGGGAGTAAGCTTAGCCATCTGCAGGGAGATCAGGACCCACTGTATTTGAGAGGTATTGGTGAGTCATATCTTAGGGTATTTCTCATCTTGGGGCCACTGCAACCACCAACAACTCTGAAATGGCAAGTATATGATTTCATGGACCCAGCATTCACATGTTTGTTTAGTTGGCCAACCAAAGTACTCACATCATTGAATGCCAGCCATGCATGTGCCTGGTGCTGTGTGAACCTGTGGGTGTATGGAGAGAGATATGTGGGCTCCTGCCCTCATGGAACTAATGGCTTAGTTACAAAGAATAGGCAAAGATCCAAAAAGCCTTCATTGTAAACCCTAACGTGCTAAGTCCCACAAGGGAGCATAAACACTATGCATATAGATGTGTAAACATTTAAAAAAATACATTTGTGCGGTTCTTTAGTTTGTTAGAAAGAAATATCTGGGTTCTGCTGTCATGGGTATTTATGGAGCACCTACAAAGAGTCTGGCTCTGGCCTAGGTGTTAAGATGCAATGCTGAACAGAACAGTGCAACAATAGTTTTAGCAGCCACACAGCAGTAAGCCCCAAGAGAGGTTTAATCCTCTCATATGGGCGGTTCCATTCCCACTTCTCTTTGTGATGGGGGTGTGTGTGCAATGATCTATGTTCACCTTAGACCCAACCTGGAAGTTATTCTCCTCATACTGGAAGCAGAGCCTAAAACACCAGTTTTGTAGACTAAACAGAGGCAGCACATAAGCCCAAACAAACACTCAGCATTGGAAACTAGATGGAGCCCTTTTGCGGAGGGTATTGGGAGAATGCCAAGTTTCCTTAGCAGCATCATTGCTACAGGTTTCCACTCTCACAGTAAACTCTGGACAAGTACAAAGGCAGAGACTGAAGTAGGATCCTTGTGGGGCACGACTGGGGACAGTGAGGACACATGGGCATGCTCACTGGCCATAAGCAAAGGGCCAGGCATTGACTCTTGCCTTAATTGAATTGAAGTTTCCACTGGTTCCTTAGTTAGTTGGGGTGGGGGTGGGGAGTTTAGAAATTAATATTAGAGTCCTGTTAGGTAGCAATTTGTTGTCCATAATTAAGCTTATGTTATACTGCAAGCAAATTGTGTGTAATTGTCATTAGAGGGCATGAATTGAGTGATCCTCTATGAATTCTTTTGTTGTCTTTTCAGAAGGCAAGAGAACAAGATCCCTTTGCTTGCTGTTATAGAGATATCTAGGGGCTTGGGGGCCCCTAGTGTTAGCTATCAGCCAACACCCAGTTACAGAGTGCCTGCTGTAGAGCCTCGGAATGAGCTGGCTGGCTCTTGCTGGTGCCTAGAGTGAGTGGTCCAGGAGAGTAGCCCCCTCCACCCCCACGCAATTGCTTTCTCTACACTTTGCCCAGCTTACCATTACATCAGAAAGAATTTTTTGTTAAGATTTTATTTATTTATTTGAGAGAGAGAGTGTGAGAGAGAGAGAGAGAGAGCATAAACTGGGGAGAGAGGCAAAGGGAGAGGGAGAAGCAGGCTCCCTGCTGAGCAGGGAGCCCAATGTGGGGCTGGATCCCAAGACCCTGGGATCGTGACCTGAGCCAAAGGTAGATGCTTAATCAACTCAATCACCCAGTTGTCCCTCAAAAAGAATTTATTTATAATATCACATAAGATTTATAAATGGTTGCTTTTAAGTGCTGCTGAATATTGCTTCACATTTAATTAACCATTTCTCTAGTTAATCTCATAATATAAAAATTTCTATTTAGAGGGGAAAAGACTGGAAGGAAAAAAACCAAGTTGGTAATATGGACATATTTGTATGGAAATATATCCAAATATCTTGAATCTTAGAGTTAAACTTTTCTCTATATTTTCAACTTACTTTAATTAGGATGCTTTACTTTTAGAATAGAATGAAAAGTAAGTCTAAAGGTAAGTCTGTCCTCTACTGGGGGGGGTCACCATTTGGTGATGAAGTGGGCCTTATGACAAATATCAATAGACAGGGTAATATGGTAGACTATAGTGGATCCCCCTTGTGTTTTCCTTTCCATCAAAAAGTTATTAAAAATGCTGGATAGGAGTGCCTGGGTGGCTCAGTTGGTTAAGTGTCTGCTTTTGGCTCAGGTCATGAGCCCAGGGTCCTGGAATCAAGCCCCGCATCTGGCTCCCTGCTCAGCAGGGAGTCTGCTTCTCCCTCTCTTTTTGCCCCTCCCCCCTCTGCTTGTACTCTGTCTCTGGCTTTCTCTCTATCAAATAAATACATAAAATTTTTAAAAATCCTGGATAATAGGGCGCCTGGGTGGCTTAGTCATTAAGCGTCTGCCTTCGGCTCAGGTCATGGTCCCAGGGTCCTGGGATCGAGTCCCACATCGGGCTCCCTGCTCGGTGGGGAGTCTGCTTCTCCCTCTCCCACTGCCCCTGCTTGTGCTCCCTCTCTTGCCTTGTTTCTCTCTGTCAAATAAATATAAATAAATAAATAAATAAACAAACAAACAAATAACTAAATAAATAAAATGCTGGGTAATAAAATCTAAGGTGCGTTGATGATCTATCAATAAAGTAAGTAAATTCTGTAGCCAAAAATTAAATAAATATGGGAATTCAGATATATAAACAGACTGTTCAAGCTAGCTTTTTTCTCTGAAGACTTTTGTAAAATCAAGTGAATCTAGCATAAGTTTTAATGGTCTCATGAAGCATGGAGAGCAGGAAGCTTCTCTCAGGGCCTGTCTGAGGTAGAAGGTCTAACAGGAATTTCTCCCCCCTTTTAGACTAGATCCTAAAGAGCTCTAACTTCCATGTAAGGACAAACCAGAAATAAACCCAGGAGAATGTCAGGAAACTTAAACGTCTGGTCCAGGTAGAGGGTAGGAAACTGACACTGAGAATTTGGACCCCAAAAGTGGTGCTCACATAGGATTTTGGCTAGAATTCACACTGCTAAGTTATTTCAACCTGAGAATTTAATTTAGAGCAAACCTACAAAGTGCCTTGCAGAAGTGAATGCAAATATTTTCTGAAGAAACCAGCCTGCATTCCAGGTCTCAAAGCACCGCCACCCAAAAGTGTCTAAGAGTTGCAGTAAAATAAACAAATACATAATAATGAGGCATCACAAGGGAGTGAGATCCAGGATGTGTATGTGGGAACTGCCATTCAATTTCCTTAGGTAATAAAATTATTAGCCAGAGATAACAGTATAAGTATATATAATATGCTTAAAGAACTAAAACACAAACTGGAAGATATGGGAAGAGAACAAGAAACTATAAATAATAATAAGTTTTGAAAAATAACTAAATGGAACTTCTAGAAATGAAAAATATAACACATTTAAAAACTCTATGGAGGAGTTTCGCATCAGATGTGATACAGTTTAGGAAAGAATTAATGAATTGCAGATATATCAGAAGAAATGATCCAGAAGGTAGCCAGAAAGACATAGATGGAAAATATCAAAAAGGCATAAGAACACAGAGACTAGAGTGGGAGAGTTTAATATACATTTAATAAAAGCCCGAGAGAAGAAAAAGAGAGGTGTGGAGGCTAGATTTGCCCATATAATGTCTTGGGACTTTCTGGAACTGAAGAAAATCATAAATGTGTAGATTCAAGAAATCAAAGAATCTCAAGCATTAAATTAAATAAAAATAAATAAGCCCATACCTAGACACATGCTAATGAGATTACAGAACAGCAAAGGCAAAGAGAAGATTTTAAAAGCATCCAGAGAGAAAAGAACAACAGTTAAATTGAAAGCTGACTGTTCATCTGCAATCATAGGGGCTAGACCACTATGGAATAAATAATATCTTCAATGGACTGAGATAAAGTAACTATCAACTATCAACTTTCTTTACATTCATTAGAAATTTCTCTTAAAGACAAAGACAAACTGAAAGGCAAATTTCAGATAAATGAAACTGAGAGAGGTTCTTGCCAGAAGACACCCACTTAAAGAAATTCTAAAAAATCTACTTCAGGCAGAGGGAAAGTGTCACATGCAAGAATGTAAAAAGAGCAAAGATGTGCTAAGCATGAGGGTGAATCTAAACAAGCACTGAGTGGATACAACAATAAAGTCTCATGGGGTATGGCACACACTGACTATATGGTCACCATTCACTTCTGCTCCTCTCAGACACAAAGGAAGACTGTTTTCCACTTTTAATTGCAAATAGTTGAGGTCATGTTATTGGATTCTGGCTAATGGAGTGCAGATGGAGACAGAAGTAGTGTATGCTACTTTCAGGCATAGGCATAAAACACCAATGCACTTTCTCATGCCCTCCCATGGCTACTGTAGAGATCACCCATTGAAGATGGTGACATCATATCGTCCTGGATCCCTGAGTCACTCCATGGAGGAGACACTCCAGGAGAACTTCCCAACCAGCACTGAATATGGTGTGAAACAGAAACCTCTATTATGTTAACTCACAGTTGTAGAGATGATCACACTAACTAGTTGTACTTATCTTGAGTAATATAGAAATTGGCACATTGAAAAGAGCTGTTGCCACTCCAAGACATCAAATGTGTGACACTGGCTTGTGGTCATGTTGTGGACAACAAGAAAACTGATATAAGAAGGCTCAGAAAGTGCTGACCTGTGTTGCAATGGCAGAACTATTCCCTGGATAATTCTGAGGCAGATCATGAGCCTCATGGGCCAGTAGCCCTAGGGGAAGGGTTTATAAAACAGAACCTTAGTATTGTGGGTCAGATGTAGATGGTTACATCTGTCAAGCTGTTACAAGAAAGAGATGAACTTGGAGAATATTTGGCCGATTAATAAGAAATAAAAGG